CCAAAGCACTAACTTAAACGATGGTTAATTCTAGACAATTCTAGATCATTTTATTATTCTGGATTAACGTTGGCATGTTTGTTGGTATGCTTGTTAATCTAGACAACTCTGATGTGGAAACAGGTTAGTAACATTAATGTGACGGTATTGTATTTAAAACACACACTACACACACACGTATCCATAAATTTTTACCATAAAGTTCACATATTTTAAAATTAACATTTCATGTAATTATTTATATATCAGTTTCACATCATTATCACATTACTCAATCTTATTATCATCACATCACAACATATCTTTTATCACATCATCATCACCGCATCCTCATCTTCACCACATTATTATCATCATCATCATCACATCAACATCCCAAGCAGGACTTAATTAAAAGCACACGTATCTAAATGATAAAATAAATCTCATTGTCTTGTTGTTTATATTTTGAATGGTTATTTATATTGTTAGTGTGTCGTGTGCGTGTGTGTGTGTATGTTTGTGGGTGTGTGTTTGCAGATGTGTTTGATTGTCTCGTGCATGCACACATGTACATGTGCATGTGCATACGTGTATGTAAGTGCATACATGTTGGTGGTCTTTGTTGATTTTTCTAGTAACTTCTATTTGCTTAATAACATTTTTATTTTTAAAAGCTTTTGCATTTAAATTAGCATTGTTACTTAATAAAAGAAATCATTTGTTTGGTAATGAGTGAAGCATGGTATAATTTTCATCAAGTTGGGTTCGAATGGAGTGCCAGCTTGCCTGCCATCAAGATAAAGAGGGACACGTGTAAGAAAGAAATCATGGTGATCCAACCCAACAACTGTTCGCACACTTCATTCATCTCAGCTGTCTTTCTTCCTCAAACTGTTTGTTTCGTTCTTCAACGTTCTTCTTTCTGATCTGTTTGAGTAATCGTGATTGAGATTTTCTTTTATTTCGTGCCGCTTCAATTCATGGTGTGGCATTTGTTGTTGGCGGAGGTTGTTTGAATTTTTTGTTATTGTTTCTTGGTTCGCTTTTGTTTTTATTGCCGGTGAATATTAGTTCTTGGTTATTTTCCTTTCTAAAATTTTATTTAATTGAAGTTGTTTTTGCCTGAGATCTCAATTTTTCTAGAAAATGTTTTAAATTAAATTTTCATATCTGCTTTTTATTCAGTGATTGATAATTTCTCGTGTAATAATAATTGTAACAAAATTTCATGGGATGTGCTTGCAACAGCAGCCTGGAAGATGATTGAATTGGCACTTTTAAAAATATTTTAAATGCTTGAGTAATATGGCATGAGAACATTATCATATCATATACAACAGTCAAGTTGTCAAAACCAACTGTTGAGGCACTGGGTTCTAACTTGTAAAAAGGTTTCAGCCTACGACGCATGTCTTTTGTCTGATGCATGTTTGACGCGTGTTCACATTCACACCACATACACTCTTTAAATGGAACATAAAATAAGACAAATTATTTTGATGGTTTAGACCACTAAAATTCTCCAAACTTTAAAATGTAAATTGATCGTTTAGACTACAAAAACTTTCCCAATTGTAAATTTTAAAAAGTTTTAAAAACTTTCACTAACCGTTAATTAAAACAGTGGACGTTTCGGGTTTAGTTTTGGTTCTTTTAAAATTTAAACAAATCAATATTAATTGTTCGGATATTCTATCTTCAAATTATTAATTTGTCATCAATTGTTCAGTATTTTTCAACCTGGGCTTTTGAAAATCAAGAATTTTGTTGTGTCAGGCGTTTCGTCGACATTCCTGGTTGATCAGATAGATGTTCATGATTTTTTATTTGTGATCCAACGAATTCATCAAAACATTTCAATAGATAAAAACTTTTAACCATTAATTATTATTTCTTTATGATTAATTCTATATTATACGCCTTTAATCATTAATAACACAACATTAATACATTTTGTTTAATTCCACGGTTTAGTTGTCAATAATTATTTTGATTATAATATAATATCGGACACAATTTTTAATTTTTGTCATTTTATTTCATCAAGTTTTCTTTTTCAATTTTTTTGCTTTTGACGCCGAAAAGTCGAATTTCTCCACAAAACTTTTGAAGTACTTTTTGAAAAAGTTTTGACGCAACACAGCACTCCGTAGAGCACGGTACGTTTTGTAAAACATTAATCCAACTTTAAATGCTCAGACACATTGAAGATATCAGCATATCTTACATAAAACATTTTTAGTGCATACATAGGTACTCTCCAACTATTTTCAACTAACCACACGTGTGCCGGTGCATGAACGAGACTATATAGTGAATCATTTTGTATGTTATATACAGTGACGTTCTATGGACCATTATATACCATCATTGCATACGTATGAGGCAGTATGTGAAGAAACTAGTTCTGTAAAATGTGGAATGTGGTTGCATAATAGACTGACCAAAAATTAAAACTGAAAACCGGTACATAATGTACCGACGTAAACATTTTAAATATACATATAAAATAACTAAATCACATAAGTAAAATTATTACTTATGATTAAAAAAATGTTGGAAAGGAATCAATGTTCACTTCAAATAACTTTTCAAAACAATTTTTATCTATTTAATTTGGCATTTGAAGAAAGATTTTTTTAATTCATTTGTCTGTCAATAAATAATCTCTCACAAAATTCCCATGCATGTCCTTTCCATGTTTGTTTTAATTCTCATAGTTGTTTCAAAGTTTTAAAATTGAAGCATTTTTACCAAACCGTGACATTTTTATTATACATTAGTTTTATAATTGAAGAATTTTTACGAAACCGTGAAATTTTTAATTATACATTGGAGGCCCTTCCACACAGCCCAAACACGTGAATTTTACGGGAAAACCGGAACGCCTGGTCGTCTCATTGTATGATCATATCAATTGTAGACATAAATTCATGACTTTCCTTTACATTTTTTTGAAGTTTCTGACTACTGCATCTAAATTCACAAGTTTTAATTTAATGGTCGCCAAAATAAAGTTTTTGTTGAGTGATGAAATGTACACGTTGATATTTTAAAGCAATTTCAATAAAAGAGCGGAAAAATTATTTTAGACGAAAGTTTTAATCGGAGGCAATAGAATTCTTTTAGAATTTTACCTCCGTTTCTATTGACGTCCCGGCAAGAAATAATTTTTCAAGTGGTGAAAATGTGCTAACATAAATGATGAACTCAATACTAACTTGAAACGAATGAACGAAGAGATGTTAGCTGTAAAACAATTTTAATAATTTTCATTTTTCAGAAAAAGTCACTGCATTGATGAATGATAATGTTTTTAAACCAGAAATATTTTCATAATTACGCTCTATCCTAATTTAACAGATGCAATTTAAACCTGACCACAATTTTGCAGTTGCAGTAGTTTCCATTTAAAATCAGGTGCTATTTAGATTTGTTAAATAATAAAGCAAAGTCAGAATTGATTTTTTACTCCTTTCGGTTTTGCACACACAAATTTGGCTGCGGTCGAATCGATTAGAATTTATACGTCAGTTCCATTCAAGTTAAATGCTAAACCGATGAAGCCTGGCGCAGTCTCATGTTACCCTACCCAGCTTTTAAAGAGGGTGAACAAAGTACGGTCTGATGTTTTCCTGTCATCATGATCAAATGTGTGTGTATCCGAGAGCATTAATAACACCAGAGTATAATAATAAGTTCACGGTCCTTTCTATATTTGTAGGATAATGTATTTGTGTTAATAAAATGTCTTCAAATAAAAATTTTGTTTACTACATTTTTAAGTTGAATAATGAATAAGCGTACTTAGCTCAACGACGTTAAAAATGTAGTAAAATTTATTAAAAGTTGCATAAACTAGTTACAAAAATATAACATTTGATATGATCAGATGAAAAACAATGCATAATTATTTGCATCATAACATTTCAAATAAATAAGCAATAACAAAAATTAAGAAGCATGCCATTTGTGCAGGGAGGATCATAATGCCACACCAGGTTAACATCATGATTTTTATCATATTCACCACTAACATACATACATCATATCATTGCATGCACACCTATAAATGTTATGTATGAGTATGAAAGTTATGGTGTTATATTTGAATGTGTATAAGGCAAATAACATAAAAAAACCGATCTATGTGATGATTAGTATTTGTTGCATTTATTTTTCAACAAGCAGCAAATAAACATTGCATAACAAGTCCATGACATCGCTATAAAAACAAAGAAATATTTATTTATGACTGAGTTGATTTATTATAACTCAAATCACTGATCACATTTACAAAAACAATTTTGGAGATGGATGGTGGATATCCTGATAACATATCATTATTACTTTTTACACCTAAACAAAAAACAAAATAATACTTTTATGTATTTGAGTATAAATTGAAATAACGTAACAAAAGTTAAAAGAAACTTTAGATAGCATGGAAAAAGACGCAGTGATGAAAATGGCAAAAAAGCCACTCAAGTCAATCAGTCATGGTCAGAGTTAATTTTTTGTGGCAGTCAACTTCATTTATGCATATCAAAACTACAGAAAACATTATTTATGAAAAACCACTAAACTAGTGTATGAAGAACACTTTGAAAAAAAAAACAAAAATAAGTTATATAATAAATCAAACTTTTTATGCAAAACATTGAGCGGACATCACGCGAGCAAAATATTGGTAAATTTGCATTTATACCCATGGATAAATATGCATTTATATTAGCCTATCCATGTTTATACCTATGCTTGCAAAATGAAACCTTTCTATAAAAATTTGTGAAACAGATTTTATCAAATTATATAAAATTAAAATCGTAAACGACTAATAAAAATTATGCAACAAAAAATGAGAACAGAAATAAAATTAAACAAATTGATTAATTAGCGAACGTCCTTAGTTAGATGATCATGACACCAACAGAACTACAACGAAACGTCAAACTTTTGCTTTTTTGAGGTTTATATTTCAAAATTTTATAGTCATCATCAACATCACTATAAACACTTTATTCCTCTGCCTCATTCAACCAAAAATTTTTATTAGCATTCTCGTCTGGAACTGATGATAAATTTGATTCGTCTGATGTGTTCTTTCCACCCAAGTACTTGGTCAGGTTAATTTTTTGAAGATGAGTGTCTGACATATTATCCAGTAATGGTTTTTGTTGAAAAATGTAGATGCAGTTGTTGATAGTGATGTATGGTGAACAATGAACAAACATCTTCAGCTTCAGCACAGTCGACCACTGATCATTCTCAAAGTCATACATTTCTCCATTCTTTATTAATGAAATAATTTATTGTAAATACATTTATTTACAGGAACAGTTTAGTTATTTAGAACTAAATTAAACACTTGAAATTATTTTGCATTTGAATTTGAAAATCAATTATGTAATTATGTGAATTACTTGACAAATTTAGTAAATTATCTTGATCAGTCAACACATAACTTAATGATGATATTACAGAATTTATAAAGATAATTTACTTCACACAACAAAAGACCAAATAATAAAACCTATTCAATGAATAAAAACAAACTAAACAAACTAACCATTATATTTATACTCCATTGTGACATTTCAGATGTTCCTCCACCAACGACAAAAAGATTGTTCCCTGTGCATGTCATTACATGGCCACATTGGGCTATCGAGAACCATTTGTTGTAGGAAGGATCAAACTGCCACACCAGGTCCACCAGACCGTATTCATCAAATCCACCACTAACATACATCATGCCATTGAATGCACAGCCTATTAACGTTTGAATATAAAAGTTTTGTCAAGACCTTTGAATGTTGAAATCACACTATATCCATTATGCTTTATGAACTGCAAGGGAACAATGCGCTCAACCACCTTTGATAAAAAAGAGATTTGAGATCGGTCAATAGTTAATGATGTCATCCTCATCAAGGAACGGCTTTTTCAACATAAGAGTAGCATCAACATGTTTGAAAACTTTAGGGAAATACCAACGGCGCTGACACAAATTTATGAAAAATGTCAAAAATGAGATAATAACATCAATATATTACTTGAGCATTTGCTTTCCTCTCCACATGGCTTGGTTATGTGGAGAAGAAAGCAAATGACGGCTGGGTAAAGAAACGTGGAACTATTACAATGTCCGACTTAAAGAAAAGTGTCAAACCCAAGCTCACCTAGAAAGAAGTGTTGTCAAAGGACATAAGGGCACTTGGTTTGAAACCAGAACTGGCCCAATATAGAGAAAAATGGAAAAGACAGTTGAATGTATGTGATCATGCGACAAGGCCACCCAGGGTTTTCATCAGGAAACCCTGGAACAAACACTGGGCGGCTCAGCCTCTAAGGATTGAGCACCTTTAAATGTGCAGGATGATGATAATAAATAAACCTATGCATGTATTTTTGTATGAGTGCAACAACTAAAATTCTCAGATTTAAAATTGATTAATACAAACTTGAATTGCAAATTTTCATTTAAAACTGCAGTAAATACCATTAACAATGTACAAAAGGAAAATAAAAAAAAGTTGACCAGACCTGCAGAACAAACAAGAGCATCAGGTAAAGGCTCCACCATGTACCATTGATTTTCACTGGGTATATATTTTTCCACAGTTGGAGTTCCGAATAAGAAAGCGATGTGACCAGATACTGCATATAAATGGCCAGCTATTTCACCCAGGTAGAAACTGCTCCTTGCAAGATGCATACTGCAACACTGAAAATTTAGGACAAAAGATAATCATTAGCACAATACTGAATTATTTGTTATGTACTATTAAACTATGAACAATTAAAGCGTTGATCGGATAAAATACATATTTATGTAATTACAACAAGACACATTACATGCATGCACATTAGGCCTAGATTAATTAAGTTACAAGTTGTATAAAAACTCCTGTATGAAAATTATTTACTCATTATTATTGACAACTACAATTAGAAAAAAATATGCTTCCTTATAAAAAAATATTGTATAAAATTAAAGAAAACCTTTGACCAGGTTGCAAGAACTGGATTGTACACAAAAACGTCATTGATGTTCTCATGATTAGGTGTTTTTCCTCCAACCAAATACAGACAATTGTCAACCACTCGAGCATTGCATTCTATCAAATCGACTGGTGGTCCCTTCCTACCATAAAATTTAAATTTCAGAAGTGATGACTTTGAGGGATGGGCACTGCTCTTGAAAGCATCAACAAGATCAAAAAGATGCAGCATGTTGAAAAATTTTTCATCCTGATCATGAAATATATGAAACAACAGAATTACGTTTTTTTTGGATAAATATTTATGATTTTATACATATTATGTATTATAAACTATTTCATTGTATTTTGAGATTTATTGAAAATATCTTGAAACCAATGCTAATTCAGTTCCGTTTATGTTGTATGTATGAATTATGAAAACAAAAATTTATAAATGATGAAAATTAAAATTTAAAAACAGTTACAAATATTTATGTAAAAAATAATTTAATCAATTCATAGTTTGAATCAGAGCTGTCAGTTCATTGAAATCTTTAATAAGCAAGAAGAAAACTAAATGGAAATAGAAATTATTAACAGTCACAAAACATTTATAATAGATTAAAAACTGAGTTGAGTTCTCACCTTGCTTGCCGTTAATCCAACAGCAACAAGCATGCCAACTGTATGAAAAACATTTGCATCTTTTTCTTTACTATGGCAAATATTTAAATTCAGATCATCAAGTAAAGACACACATTTTTTCTTTTCAGTTGCTGTCATCAAACTGAACCTCACTTCATGTAACAATTTCTCAGCATAATGTTTCCTCAATAGATCTGCAGAAATCCACTTGATTATTAAATTGAAGATATCTATTTCGCTGTTTGCATTAATATCTTCTGATCCAACCAAGCGAAACATGTCATCAGGCAATATTGATAACATCTCAGAGGACTTTGACATTTTTCTGAAATGTTTCAATATGTAAGTAATAACTTTTTGGACCACCTCTTCAACCAGAAAGTACTTGTTTGCAATATCCAAAATAGGAATAAACGTTGACTTTTTCAAATGTTTCAATAATAATTTAGAGTAGCAATCAATCATGCTATTGATTTGTAGATAGAATGCACCATCTAGCCCATTTTCAACATTCCTTAATGACAGTCTGACCTCTGGCTATCAACCTTGATAAATAATCATTTACTTCCAATAAGGATTCGTTTGTTAAATATTCCAATGTAAGCTCTCTATAGTGAGCATCTCTCATTCCACTGCTCACCAATCCTTGAAAATAACAACTTTCCTGACAAAGTACATTTCTATCAAATTCATGACGACCTCCTGACTTGGATATTATAATTTGATGTCCTTCTGTTGTTGGAATGTTATGGATCTTTCCATCGTCTACCATTTTTTTCCCATTCGATTTCTTAAATTAAAAGTTTTTCAATTAAAATTAATTATATTACTAATTTTATTATTATTAACATTAGATTAGTCTATTAATCTATAACAGAAATATTAAAAAACTAAAATTACCAAATGATCTACCTCTTGTTTTTTCTTTCTTCTAACCATTCTTTAGTAGAGTTGATTTGTTTTTATTATATTTTATATTTATTAATTTATTATTGTTTATTTTGTTGTTTTTTATTCTTTACTTCTTTTTTGATTTTTAATTTTTGATTATAAATTTGATTAATTTTCAACTTTAGACAGATAATCATGCACACACAGATCGAATCAGTTTATTTTTATATCGTATTTCAAAATTTAGTAAGCTCTAGTTTAAATTATTAATCACAAACTAAACTTTCAAAACTTTCGCCACTTTAAAACACCGAGAACACGTGCAAATGTTACGCAAGCATTGAGCATAGACATAATATATTTTTGGCATTGTATTTCTGTTTCTATGGGTGTAATTTTACTATAACAATACATAATAATTCTTACATAAATATGATTATCATTGTAAAAATGTGGATACCATGGATTGAATCAAAATAGCGTTTTAGTATCTTCAAATTCTAATTTTTAATCAGAACATTGTGCCTGTGCGGTTTAGCTTGTCGACATCCGTTTTTCTGAAATCAACTAATTAGTTGCATTAGGAAGCAATGAGGTTGTTGCGTCAGATGAAGCTGATGACAAGGAGGTCACTTTACAGGACAGCCTTCATTCGATCCATATCATGCTAACGATGATAATGATGATATGCTGTTCATTTTATTTCTTCGTAATAATTGCTGTCAACAATTTTTGGATGAGGATTTTATCAAATTTAAGCGTAAATTTTATTTATGAATATGTCTCAACACTGCTTTATATGCTTTATATGCTTTAAAAAGTTCACAGGAAAAACTCATTTGTCGGGGTAGCTGATATGCTTATTTGCTAAAAAAATGTCCTAAAAGCAGTTTTCTACTGACTCGATTGAATTTTGCATTGCTTATTTGATTTTAAATTGTTGTTTAAATGATTTTTTTACATAGAAATTGAAGTTAAATTTATAAAATCATCCTTCTAGCGCATTTTATTAGCAGCTTATAACAAATCAAACAATTCAAATATAGTTTGAATTTGAAGAATTGTTTATTTTATTAAAAAAAGAAAATTATTTCTGGCAGACAATGTGGTCCACACCGTTAATGAACGTGTGAACACCTTTCTGCTGGCAGATCATATGAGGGAATGGTTCCACATGATAACTTTAATCATCGAACTTGAACCAGCCATGCTGAAGTTGGAGATAGTGTTTATGTTTTTTAATAAACTTAAGAATCATTACGATGAATGGTTCATTTAATTTTTAACGTTGAATGATGTAATGTTAAAAAATTAAGTAACTAATATAATAAATTTATTTTCTAATTTTTTTCTTGTGATCGACACAATGGCGGACTAGCCAACTTTGATGGGGGGGGGCCAAAATTTTTACGTGGGGTGCCAAAGATTTGTGGAAGTGTGGCTGACGACCTTTTTTGATCGATTTTATACATGAAACAATCCTATTTCTGACTTTTATTTTTAAAAACATTGCTCACAACGGAGCGAGTTCCCAGCCGCTCCTAGATCTGCCACTGGATCCACATCCAACTCACCCCAAAGTATGTTTAATCATTTATTCAAACTTAACACGTCATGAAAATTTTCCATTTCAAACACGTTTCACGATTAACATTTGCTACGCGGTAAAAAAATGAACGAACCACTTGAAAGCTCTCCGTAACTTTTCTAGGTATGACGTAATGAAAGAAATCGCTCGATTTCTTATCCTTGTACAGGCACTGTCTCTTTACATTATAAGAGTTAAATAAGTTATTACATTAGGTTTAGTTAAATTAAATTTTATATTTTGTTGAAAATAATAGTTTCTACATGGTTAATTTTGTGGTGACGATATAAGGAAGGAAGCGATTGACAAAAACCTCGTTTTTGTCAGAACGAGGAATGTTGAAGAAGGCTCTATTTTTTTCTGGTCAACGTACAAAAACTCATGGAAGGATTTCGGGCACGGGTCTTCAATGTTGAAACATCCGGAAAAATTTGTAATTTAATTTTTCAAATTTCATTTTTGTGAAATTATGCAGTTGCTATTTATTTCATATAAAATAAACGAGTAGAAATCACGGTTTTCATTAACGATAACGATCATTAATAAATTATGATAACATTAATAACTATATTATTAGAGTTATGATGATATTAATATTTATAATAACATTAATAATTATAATATTAATAATTATAATATTAATAAATATAAATTTAAAAAACGCGACAGACCCGTCACAGGTCCGGAACCATCGACGGTCGTCAACATGCAACTGAGCACAGCAACAAAATAAATTAGGGGCATATTGTGAGGTTGAAATCATTAAAAAAATAAACCTGAACTGGTAATCTGTAAGGTGTTTATTTTTCAAGATTAAACCACATCTTATAAAGCAGTAGGTGCATGCATTTGTCTAATGACGATAGGTCGTAAATTATTTTTTTCCAATTTATATTTTTTAATGCGCAATTAAATCGAATGGTTGTTTGTTTGATGTCAATAATTTAAGTTTTATCGCCTCGTGAGGTATTTTTAGTCGTTAATATTGATGTAAAAAATTTTATTAGCTGCTAATACTTTTGTATTATTTAACATCTTTTCAGGTTTTATAAAATTATATTAAAAATTTGATTTAAATGATTTTGAAATTTTTATTATTAAAAAATATTGATATCTAGATACAACTTGCTGAGAAGACGTGATGCAATAAATGCCTTTAAAACAAATTTTTTATTAAACATAAAAAATAAAAAATTTTTTTTTTCAAATAATTTTTGTTGTTTGATTTTATAAGGAGACGAAAAATAATTTAAAAATTAAAATTAAAACCAAAAAAATTGTGTCTTCTTCGTGCACTTCGTTGAATTCATCATCATCTTCACCACTTTAATCATTTTAATAATAACCATAGGAATCTCCTTCCCCTCACTTTCACCACCCAGATCATCATCCTCATCATCATCTTCCTCTTCACCATCTTCATCATCAGCACCATCACTTCAGAAAACCGTTCAATGAGTGTACAAATAGTCATGAAATAACCCACCATCACCATCTTCATCATCATCATTTTCTTCTTCTTCATCATCATCGTCATCTTCACCATCGCGATGTCACTGTAAAAAAAACTGAATTGCCAAAACCAGGGCAGCAGCACCTCTATTAAAAACATCAACATCATCGCACTGATGAAACGTTATCACATCCACCACCGAAACATAACATCATCATCACATCATCGTCACATCATCGTCCTATCATCATCACATCATCACATCACATCATCCTCGCATCATCATCGTCTTCACATCCCTTAATAACTGAACATTAGCAATTGATTGCCATTGAAAGATGAGGACGAAATAATGTACAACTTTCTCTTTTCCTCATCCAGCAGAACTCTGTAGGGCCTTTCGACAACGGGGGCTTGAGTCTTATTAAAGAAAAAAGCAGCATTTGGAACAAAGGCGTACATTTCTTCTATCAGTTCGGCATCCTCTTTTTGACAACCGGTTTCAGGAAGTTCTGGTGAGGGGCAGACGTCAAATTTTCTGACCAGCGGACCTTGGTCGCCAATGGCATCGCAGAGACCACAGCAGACGACGTTGTTGTCTTCAACTGATGGCTGAGTTTTAGGTATTAGATGAGAAGATGGTGAATTGTTGGCCGATCTGTTGTGGACACTTTCGTCGTTGTTGTTGTTGTTAATATTGTTGTAGTTTACATTGAACGGCAATGTTTCTGTGTATAATGCAGATGGAAGAGCGTCGGTGTAAATTGGCCGATTGCTATTGTTGGAGTTGTTAATGTTGTTGGAGTTGTTAAGGTTGTTAGTATTGTTAATGTTGCTGCTATCATTATTGTAAGTTGCATTAAGAAAATTTTTTTTGAAATCTATGGCGACTGCTTCACTGGGCGAGCATAGAGGCTCAACGTTGTTGATATTATTATTGTCGCAGTTTCTCTTCTGTTGGTTAATAAAATTACTTTGGCAATTTAAATCATTGCATGTACATTTGTTGCTCAATCTGTTGCAAAGATCACAAATCTCCGTAGTGAACTCCTGGCAGCAGCAACTGTTTCCGTCCCGGCTATCCCAAGTGGCTTCGTGTATGGGCCACAATTTCTTGCCAGGACATGATGTGTACTGATTTTGTGAACGCCTTTTTTGAGAGCAATAACGTGGCTGCTGTTTGTGGCAGTTGTTGAGCATGTTTTCCTTCATTTGTTCCCTGCACTGTTCTCTTATGAACATTTTTAGCTGAGGACTAATTTCTTGAGCTTGACCGTTTGATTTACGTTCCGATTTGATTTGTTGATGTTGTTGTTGTTGTTGATGATTTTGTTGTTGCGTCTGTCCACATTGAAACTGTTTTTGATAATTTGAAACGTTTTGCGTTTGCTGTTTTTGCTGTTGCTGTCTTTGCTGTTGCTGTTTATGTTGTTGTTGTTTTTGTTGTTGTTTTTGTTGTTGTTGTGATTGTTGCTGTTGTGATTGTTGCTGTATTTTCTGTTGTTGTATCTGCTGCTGCTGTTGTGGTGGTTGCAGATTCTCTGGTTTTGTCGTGTCATGTTGCGATTGCTGCTGTTGTTGTTGCTGCTGTTGTTCAGGTTGTTGCGGTAGCTGTTGTATTTGTGGTTGTGAAGATTTCAGGGTAGGAACTGGGATATTTTGACTCAGAGTGTTAATAATCTGCAGCTGTTCTTCCTGCTGTTGTTGCACATTGGTGGAATCGTTGTTATAATTTTTAGATTGCTGCTGATAGTAGTAGTTATTAGGAGCGGTAGCTGAATTTTTGCGGTACATGTTAAGTTGGGGCTGTGGTTGCAGCTGCTGAAGAAGCAGCTGTTTTTGGATTGAATTTTGTGATGTTATCTGCTGCTGTGAGAGCATTTGTTTCGCAATTTGTTGTTCCAACTTTGACATTGTGTTAAAATAAGGATTGGCAAATGAAGCTTTAGAATTTATTTGAAGTTGTGCTTGTTCTGGCGTCTGAAAATTTTTAGCCACAACTTCAGGCGGGCAGTCACTCTGTGAACCAACCAAGGTCCTTATGAAGTTGAGGTTTGAATCGAGCAAGAAAATTGCATTGCTAGCGTAGTCACATACCAACAGCTGTGTAAATTGAGTTTGAGAATTTGCTTGAACATTTATTCAAAAGTTTAAAAAAGTAAATAATATTTAGATATAGATATAGATATTTTAGCAAAAGTTATTTGCTATCAATAGCTATCTTGTACGTTTCATCAACATGGTTTCTATTAGCTGGGCTGCAAAAAGTAACCAAATGTTTTTTTTATAAAATGTATATGCAGGCAGAGAAGGAACTCATTTTTATGAAACTTATGAATACTAATTTTTACAAATATGTGTAAATAGATATATTAGCTAGAGTGAATATTCATGTCCTAACAACCCAATATATGCTGAGCATAAAAGCTTAACCTGGTCATATTGATCAAGCGATAAATAGACGGGCTCGATAATTGTTGGTAAGGTACATTTCTTTTCATCGTTTGCAACCGGTTTTTTCATTTGTATCGATGTTTTTGAAAGATGCTCTTGAGATTTTTGCGGCTGTTTTTCTTGCTGCTGTGACTGCTGCATGTACTTGGCGCAGTCGGAAGGATGGATCAACGTCACTGGGTCCATAAGCTCCGTAGTAGGCGTGGCAACCATTTGACTGGCTGCTGTGTTGTGGTCCGTGAAGTTTGTGAAACCGTTGTTGATACGTGCGCTCTGTCCCAACACATCAGGGAAACAGTTTGTGTTGAGATTTACGCTGTGCAATAATTCTTTGTCAAATCTCATATTGAATATGCAGTTCTGAATATCTTGTCCACATTTACTGTAAGGGTGAAAAGTAGCCAAAGCGTTGTTGTGGCTGAAATTTTTTATATTGGAGTTGTGATTGTTGTTTCTGTTTGATCCCGTCATATTTTCATAAGTGAACCTCTTCAAATCACTTTCGTCACCTTGGCCAAGCCAGGCTATGTTTGACTGATTTTGACCAAAATGTTTTGCTGGTAGTCCAGATTTGTCGATGAAAAGCAAGTCTTTCATGAAGATGGAAGTCGTTGGGGTGGCTAATTGTTGTTGCTTTTGTTTGAAGTGCTTTGTTACATGGCCTGTTTATAGTTGACGTGACGATGGTGACGATGACGTCATGATGATGGTGACGTGGTGATGGTGATGAGATGGTGGTGGTGATGTAAAAATGAGAAAAATAGTTAGCCGAATATTAATATCTGCATTTTGATCCTTATCATCAGTGTCTTATTTCTTAATTCGAAATAAGACACTGATGAAATATCTTAATTCGATAACTGATTTTAACCTTTCTTATTGACAATGCACACTCGATTGTTGGGAGAGTTCCAGTTGGTCCCGCACACGATGTATCTAATAAAATGATGACGCAAGTGATGATTACAATGATGACGACGATGATGAATATGACATGACATGTTGTTGAAAATAATAGTGCTGGTAACAGTACTTAATAGCACCCACTTATTCTCGCACAACTTGACAGCATGCGTGACAATGGTGCCTGGAATTTTGACGATGATGTCGTTGATGAGCACACCATCCACGGAATATTCCGTCAGGTGATCCGGGTATTTGACGACCAGAAGTGTGTTTGTCTTCGTGCGAGACATGCTACGGACCCCCAACGTGGGAAGGCGCCACTTCATAAGGATCCTTCGTTTTATAAAATAAAAACTAACTCTCTATCGAAAAATCAGAAAAGAAAGTTAATGTATTACAATGAGAATTTTTCAACTGTCTGTATTGCTCAGGTAAAATTGTAATAAAACTCAGTCACCTAATCATCAGTAGGATATTATTTTCATAAACAACTTCAGGCGTGTTTGACTTCTCAAAACTGTTGATTTTTCACTAAACGTTGACAGATTTACTATTAAAAGGCTAAAAACGAAGAATTAAATCTTTTCCCAACTAGCTTATTAAACCTTTGATTTAAACATTTTTTGAATGGGAAAAAAGGATATTAGTTGTTTTCAATTTTTCAATATTTCCGAGAACATAATTTGTAAGACAACATCATCCTCTAAGAACAAATCATTCACTTTGAATTACTTTAAGTAAAACAATTCACAAAAATTATTTAAATACTGCGCAAACACGAGCGTTTAATGGCAACTCCTTGCAGAACCATTTATTAAATTGTTCGTCTCGTTGTCGGAATGTGAAAAATGTTGCTGTCCAGAAGTTCAGAGACAGTGTGCTGCAGCACCTACAACTCGAAGGCCACCACGAAGTGAGTTCATTCTTTCATTGCATTGTTTTATTTCCACAAAAGTATGATATTTTATAATTTTTTTTTTATTTACCGCTGGTGTTTGCGGTACAATTTTGAACTATTTAACCTCAACCGTGGCAAAATATTATTAAATTTGAATGCAACAATTGAATGCAAGAAAATTTTAAATGAAGATGAATCATCTCACAGTTGCCCGTCACACGTCGTGCAGCAGACCTGATTTGATAAAATTTACAAAAAAGTTAACAAACTTGTTCTCCGTGTCCATTCTATGTACGATGCTGCGCCTGAAACAGTCCGTGATGAAGACAAGCCCGTCTACCACAACCAAGTCCCATGGCTGTTGCATGAGGGGCAGATCAAACTGACCGATCTCGACCAGGTCCTGCGGCTGTAGAACCAGAACGTTTGGTTTGTCCGCGTCAACTAAATATAAATCCTGGTTTTTAATCCCGATGCCCAAGATGGTTTTGTTGGCAAATGACTTAGTTCGCTCTAGTTTGATTTCTAGTGATGAAGCGAGTCCTTCACGAAGGCAGGGAGCTGATTTGTTTGTCAATGGGTAAAATTTTTGAATATTTTAATCATTTGTATTATTAAATTATATTAATATGTAATTGTTAAGCTAATCAATTGAAAAAATAATTAAATGAATATTTTTTAAAATACATAAAAGTTTCATCTACTAATTGATCCACGTCTGACAAATTTGAATACTACTAAATAATAATCTTTCACGATCATTAACGTATAATTTACAGAAAAAAAACACCTTTATCAGTGTTAGGGTGGGTGAAAGGCATTTGTAGAAATGGAAGCAAACAATGACTTTGCTGTGTAAGGCTTGGTTTTTGGACGGAAGGAAGAGAGGGAGGCAGAGAGGTGGGGTTAAGGGTAGAGGGCGCAAACAAGAGTGGAGGAGTCGGTGATGTTTGGGTCAGCATTGTAGTTGAGATTTTTCGATTCCTTAACAAAAATTCTTCCTTCAGCTGTCGAATTTCTTGCTTAAGTTGCATGACTTGGGTTTGGCAGAGATTAAAATCATGCTGGCTCCGAGATTGTTGCGAAAGTCGCAGTTGTAGTTTCTGTAAATTTTGTTGTTGCTGCTGTTGTAGTTGTGGCAGCTGTTGCATTTGTTGTTGTTGCATTTGTTGTTGTTGCAGTTGTTGCAGCTGTGGCTGTTGTTGTTGCAATTGTGGCAGTTCTTGCAGCAGTGGTTGTTGCAGTTGTGGCAGTTGTAGCTGTTGTTGTTGCAGCTGCTGCGCTAACTCTTTAAATACTTTCGGCTGATTTGAACATATAGAATCCCTCTTATCGTCTTTCGCTTAAATATAAAAAATGTTAAACCATAGTGTTGTAGTGTAATAACATAATATTAACAAACTACTGAGGAAGACGAAACCAAGATTGAAAATTATATTTTGTCATTTGAAATATTTATTTCAATTATTAATTATCAATCATCATCAGTTATTAAAAAGTTATTATTATTATTATTAAAAGATAACGTCTTCACATGACTGCTTTCGAAATTTTCTTGTACATTCTGAAAATGAAACAGCAACGTAAATATACCACATTAATCATTTGTTTAAAAAAAATAAACAATGCACCGATTACACGTATCTTAGAGATACAGTTGTATGAAAAATGAAATTTGACTGCTGTAAAAATGCATTTCAAACGAGCCACGCACGACTTGTTCCAAACATCCGCAAACATTATAATCAGTTTATCGTCTTTGGTACACTTGCTTTGAAAAGTGAAAAGCTCTGTAAGTTTATTGCCACCCAGTCTTTTTTCTGATATACACACATAAACACAAATTCACATGCAAATTGAATTACACACACACATACGTGTAAAAATATAAACACACATACACTCACAGGTACACATACACGTACAAAAACATGCATGCTCGATGGACAAACCTTCTTGTTTCTTCCTAGCACTCTCACGCAAGACTGAGAAAATAAATGAATAATTTAATTAATATTAAGTTAATTAATTGAATACAGACTAACGATAATATCGCAGTAGTTTTGTGTATGATGGTCATAAAACCATAAAACTGCTTTGCTACCTCTCATCATGAAAAATATTGAAAATTCTTGAATACAATCTAATTAATATATCAGCCACTAATAATACATGATAATCAATAAATATCAAATGTTTCTCACATGATACGACTACAGCGTATAATCAACACACACACACGCACACACACGCACACAGTTTGACAGAAAGTTAAAGGTTGAAGTTCTATTACACCGTTAAAAAAATGAACCCGACAAATCACTCAGTCGAAATATGGACAAATATGAACAAACAAACATAAGAACAAATATAAACAAACATCTCCAATGTATACAAATAACATGAGTAGTAGTAGTAGCAGCAACAACAACAACAACAGTAGCAGCAACAAAGACAGCAACAATAACAAAGAACGACGCAATCTTACACGATTTGATGCTCTCCCTGTAATCTACTGTTGTAGGTGTTCATTATATTTTTCATGTAGTCACATTAAACTTTGTTGTTATCACTCATTCATCATTGTCATTATTCTTACTATTATTATCATCATTAGTGATTTCATATTCTTACAGCAGGTTTTAAAGAACAAAATAACATTCGGTGTTCAAAAATTTTCAAGATTCTACAAATTTACTCTAGTTGGGAGATATATAAAATAAAACTTTGAAGTTAATCAAAAATTTTATTTCTTGTTTTGAAATAATCCGTGACCTTTGCCCTGCTGTTCGTCTTCCCACTTATGCAGCGAACATCTGTAAACACCCCGTGATTCTGGACCTTGTTTACGATTGGTTAGTTGATTGGTTGGAATGAATGGTTAATTGATTAGTTGGATAGTTTATAAATGTTTGATTGAATGGTTAGTTGGTTAATTGATTGTTGGTTGGTTGGCTGGTTGGTTGGTTTTTTTAGTGAAATAAATGGTTGATTGATTGATCAATTAGTTTATAAAACGTTCGATTGATGGATTGATTGATTGATTGATTGATTGATTGATTGATTGATTGATTGATTGATTGATTGATTGATTGATTGATTGATTGATTGATTGATTGATTGATTGATTGATTGATTGATTGATTGATTGATTGATTGATTGATTGATTGATTGATTGATTGATTGATTGATTGATTGATTGATTGATTGATTGATTGATTGATTGATTGATTGATTGATTGATTGATTGATTGATTGATTGATTGATTGATTGATTGATTGATTGATTGATTGATTGATTGATTGATTGATTGATTGATTGATTGATTGATTGATTGATTGATTGATTGATTGATTGATTGATTGATTGATTGATTGATTGATTGATTGATTGATTGATTGATTGATTGATTGATTGATTGATTGATTGATTGATTGATTGATTGATTGATTGATTGATTGATTGATTGATTGATTGTTTTTTTGGCTGATTGGTTAGTTGAATGAATGGTTGATTGGTTGGTTGGCTAGTTGGATGGTTAATTAGTTGAGTGGTCAATTTATTGTTTGATAATGTTTAATTGATATTGTTTAATTAATAATTAGTTAGAATATCATCAATCAATGCACTACCAGAACATCAATCCTCAGCCACAAGCCACCAACAACCAACCACCAGCCACCAACAACCAACCACCAACAACCAACCACCAGCCAGCCAGCCACCAGAGACCACCCACTACATTAACTTACAAGAGAACTTTCGACTGTTACGATCATTACTCATCCTCTTCTCTAGCATTCCATCTTGTCCATCCACTCCTCCATTGTTCTCTCTCTCGATGAAATCTGGATGATGGAGGCAGATTTCTTTCAACTGGCCCAAAACCTGGCACATGTAGTCTTCTAAGTGTTCCAGGAGGTTTGATTTTGTCTACGTTGTTATTTCAAGTGTATAAATGTGCGTGTTTTTCGGCCTGTGAATGTGTGTGTGTGTGCGTGTGTGCGTGCGTGTGTGTGTGTGTGTGCGTGTGTGTGTGCATGTATGCGTGAATATATGCGTGAATATATTAACGTTTGTATTTTTCTCTTCTGTTCTTATTTACGTTGCCTTTTGTGAAACTTGTTGAATGGTAGTTGAAATGTTTTAAAATTTGTCTGGCGTATCTTAATGAACCACCTATTTTAAAAAAAAATGTTACACCAGAGCAGAAAGTTCAAAAAAATGAAGTGACACTTTTGATGGTAACTTTTGGATGGAAATGGAAGGATGGATGTGCAGCGGATTGACGATGGTGATAGGCATGCAGTTATAAATCAACAACAACTTTGCTCAAGGAACATAACAAAAATATTGCCGACACTAATATGATTATCACACACACACTGTAACAAATACAGCGCACTAACAACATAATAACAACACAACAGCAACACAATAAAAGAAACACGGCTTCGACAAAAGAACTAACCACATCAGTGCAAAAGTTCTCGATAACATTCACGCCATCATTTTTTTGTTGGTCCAACTCATCTTTCTTTTTCAGTAATTGTTTGCGTAACTCTACCAACAGGTTGGTCAGGTGTTGTTGTTGCAACTGCATTCTGTTAAACTCATCTGATAAGTCCTGAGCAAACGTGCTGCTGTTATTGTTGTTGTGTGAAACATCTGCAAATAAATTGTTATGGAAGTTAGCACATGAGGCTGCTATTTGTTTGTCCGACTTATCATGAAGTTGTTCATTCGAATAATTTCGTTGTTCGTGGTGGTGGTTGTTGTACTGATGTTGGGTGTTACTGTTTTGTTTGGACTGTTGCTTGAAAATGTTTCTCTCAATCAACAACATTTTCTCGCACAGTTGACGTTGTTGCTGCTGCAGCTCCGAGCACATGTAGCAAAGTTTCGAGAGAGCACAATCATGTTCAAATAAATGCTCGTTGTTCTCGTAAATGTTTTGTTGCTGGTGGTGCTGTTGTTGGCAGTTTTGTTGTTGCTGGTGTTTGCTGATTGCCTGTTGTGGCGGTGCGAGCTGTGTTTGAAACGTGTTTGAACCTTGATTGTTCTCTCTGTTCTGTTCATAGTGATGATTATTATTGACTTTCAAGATGTACAATTAATAAGGTATAATATTTTTTGTTAGCCTAACTTTCATGTATTATTTTTTGGGAGCCTGGATTAACGTTTAATCATTTGACTTTTTTGAAAACACTTTAATTTATAATTGAATAGAAAAAAATGGATGATACATTTGTTCATATATAGAATGTCTCACAAACCTTAACTTTTGAAAAATTAGTGGGTAGGCAAGCATTGCTCTGCTCGAAACATGCTATGTTTTCATATTCCGTGTAAGAACCTGTGAGGTCTGCTGCTGCTCCAGCCGTTGAAACTCCCGCCAGACTGTCGCGAAGTTCCTCGCAAACTTGTTGTTGGCAACAACAGAAATTACTGATGTCGCAACACGTCTTGTTGAACCGGCAACAAGTCGTCTGCAGGTGCTGGCAGGCTCTCTCTAGGAAACCACTCGAAACCTCCAGCTCCTTCATCGATTGTTCTAAATTGGTTATTTGTTTTCTCATATCACAGGACTGTGCCGATGAGTCTGTAGGAAATTCAAACGAGTTTGAACTACATTGAAAATCTAATTTAAATCAAAATAGACAATGCATTTTCTTCACAGGTAAATGTTTAAATGCAAATTAGCAATTTTAATTTAATTCACAAAAAACAATAAAATAAAATGAAAAATATTTTTCAGTTATCATCGGCTTAAATTAACTAACGGCCGAAATAAAATTTTATTTATGCAAAATGTTGATCTAACTTGTTTCAATGAATTTTAGTAACTGACAACATATGATCTTCAATTCGTTGGTGGAATTTTGTAGGTTGATACACTGAGAAGAATGAAACTGCGTTGGCTGGTTCGTTTTGGTTAATTTCGGTGTTTTCTGAGACTGAACCTCTCGTTGCTGATGACACTGTTGGTGTTGATGTTGCAATTGTAGTTGTTGCAGTTGCTGTTGTTGCAGTTGCTGTTGCATTTGTTGTTGTTGTAGTTGCTGATGGTGTTGTAGTTGCTGATGGTGTTGTTGATAAAGTTGTTGATATTCTGCATGCTGATGCTGCGGGTGCTCTTGCGGATTATTATTAGAAACGACATAACCCTGGGCAGCTATATCGCAGTTGCAACAGTAACACTGACAAGTTGATGGTTGGGATTTGATGGATGAAACTACCTGATTCGACTCTCTCTTCTGGTGATTGCTCGTGTTTGTGGCTTTCGCTGCTGAGATCGTTTGGTGATATGGAAAAATGCAGTTGCCATCTGTTGACGTAGTTCATTTCATCGATTTTTATCAATTTTATTTATCGTAAACTAACGCATACAAAAAAATATAATAAGTTGACTTGCGTTTTCAAAATTCAAAAATTGTTCAAGTTTTAAATTACATCTATGATCATTTCCTAGCTATTTCGGACAATATGTGTCTTATAATAAGAAAAATAATGCCGTTTCTTTTAACTATTTGGTAGATTGTTTTTTGCAATTAAAATTAAAAATTCCCGTTAAATTTCCATTTTTAAGTATTGTTAACATTGTGGCTAATAATGAAGAATGTATAATAAACTTTAGCGATTAAATATAAAAGTTTTAGCGATCAAAAGTAAAAAATTGCATTTGTTAACTGAAAATATTGTTATAAGGACGGTGTCTTTCTTCTTAACGTAATTTGTACTATTAAAATTAACGATAAATTGTTTACGCAAGTTAAGTTAAGTTGTACCTTGCCCTCCTGCTTGCTCCCACGCCCCATATTCGATGTTGGAGCTCTCACTCGTGTCGCTAGAGGATTCACAATTTTTTTCCGGAATTGCGTTCTGGCACACATTTATCAAGTGGGGACATTGGTGTGAGTTTCCATACATTTGAGATTGATGCTGTTTTTGTTGTTCAGCTATATACTTCAAACTGTTTACAATCTCGCTGTGTTTTTCTTTCAATTGATCCACCATTAGTAAATCGTTTTGCAGAATGGCTTGAATTCTGGCTGGAGTCAGCAACGACGCTTGTGAGGTCGATTGTGTCAGGGACTGACTTGTTGTTGACGTCATTGGGGGCAATTTCAGTCGATTTGTCGGAGAAGCACTTGTCGATTTTAAGTTACCTATATCAGGACTATAGCGTTTAACAGAGCTTGTGCTTTTGACGTCATCAACATGCATCGCTCTTGGCGTTAAATTGGAAAAAATTTTGTTTTTTTGGCCGAAAATTTTTGGAAGCTTCAATGCTGGTTTTTGACCGAAATTTTCACACTCTTGTTTCAAAAGTTTGTTATTTTTCTTTTCATAACCTAGGACCGTTGTTGTAGTTGTTGTTTGTGTGATAACCGGGTCAATGGGCGGCAGTTGATTAGGTTGTGAGATGTTGATATGCTGAGTAATGCGAGGTAGTGCTTGAGAAGGGAAAAGTTTCTGAGGATTTGTAACTACAGGGTGATTGTGTCGGTGCTGTTGTTGGTAGCGATTGAATCTCATTTGCTTTTGATTATAACTTTGCTGGTGAAACGTTTTATGTTGTTGCGTTTCTTGGCCGTGCTTGACTTGCTGCTGCTTGTGATGCTGAGGCAACTGATGGCGAGATAAGTGCTCGTTATTTTTCAACTTTTTCAAAACCTCGATGCCGCTCTGATCAATAGCAACCGTACGTGGTTCACTCATCGTTTGACAGGCCATTTTATTGTTATCGTACAAATGCTTTTGCTCTATATCATTCTGTTCCAGTTTCGCTCCCGTTAAATTGTCATTGAAATTTGTTGTTGGACTGTTTGTTTGGCTGGCAGCAGATGGTACCATCGAACTTGTCTGGCCAATCTTACCTTTTGTAAAAATGGTCTTCTGCCTAGTCTCAACTGGTTGTAGATTGTTTAAAGAAGGTGCAAATGAGCGCGAACAACCACAGCTAACATCTTCCTGACAGTGCATGCTGGGTGATGTGGCAGAGGATGCCGGATGACTAGAATTGAAATTAGCCATACAATGTAGTTATCGGCCTTTTATTATTATCTGCTCCAACGTTTCAATTAGAATACTAGAACTGATAATTACACATAAAATGAAATTTGTTATTACTTTTCAAGAAAGAAAAAAGTAATTAATTACTATTTTGGAAGGAGTTTTAAAATTAAAAAACATTTGCAACAATAAAACAAGTGTGATAAAAACTGAATTTAAAATAAATATTTCAATAAATAAGAATAAATCGTAATTATGAAAATAACGTGTTTACATTTCAAGAAAGTGACGCAATCGTGGAGGATGTATACAAAATTATAAACTGATAAACATCTGTCAAAAAAGAATAAAATAAAAAATACTCGTCAACGTAGGCCTACTACAGTTACCATTCATTCCACAACATGCTAAGAACATGAATGATAACGAACTCAACACCTACGTGATATGAATTGAGGTGGATTTGCTCATTTGGCTAACGTAAACCGCAAAAATCGTAAACGAAAAATACATTTAACCGCAAATTCTAGCAAAACAAATATAAATATATTTTAGTTCAAAGGTAAATTCTCAATTAATCAAAGTATATTGAAGCTAGCCAAATGAGCTAATTCGCATAATATGTTTCGGAATAAAGGTTGTTGCGGTTGCACTAATGTATAAGAAATCATTACTCATTCTTTATTTTGAAAGCGTCAGAGTAAGCAAGTTTTTTTCTATGGTTGGTTGCTGCAAAACTCTGGTTTCTCGTATTATTTCATTTTGCTTAACCGATATATAGCCTACCGCCAAATCCAAATATATTATTCTATCTGAATTTGACTGCCAGTAATCTCTAATACACTGAGCAGTTAACTATAAAATTATGAAAGTTTAAAATTATGTTTAAATTTTGGTTAAGTAAATTTTATTCATATACTTGTATTATATGTATGATGTACATGACGAACAAAACTTGAACCGTGTCAGAATGACTGTTTATTAATGTAATTTTTTTGACGATTTAGAAGGGGCCAGCCGCTCTTGTGGGCAGTATTTTTATTTATAAACTAACTCTCCATGGCATGCATGGGTGTTGATCATTTGTAAAGGTTTGGATCATAGATATCCATAGGTTGGATGTTTTGATTAAAAGGATTCGTTATATATTTTTATATCTTTGTATGAAAAAGTGAATCTTTTCATCAAACTATCTTGCTGCCGATGGCGCGGATGTTTCAATTAATAAAATAAGAATATAATTTAGTTCTTGAGATATTTGTTTTATTTTTTGTTAAAATGGAGTCAATTGATTTAAATATGGATGACATTTTCGATCGTGGTGGAGGTTACGAAAGTGGTGAAGATGTGGGGTACCATGCTGATGATCGTTACCGTAACGAGAATTACGACGAAGGCAGCAGCGAAGTCAGAGACGGTAGGAACGTTGAGGCTGCCGGTGAAGGTTCATCTCATCTACGTTCTACGATTTAAATTTTAAAAAATTGTAAAAGATTCTCAATTTATTATATAACAACATGGCAGGATTTAAAAAAGTGTTTCAGAAGATTAGAGTCCATGTGAGAACTACTGCGAGATTAGTGTCCTATAATAGCCTGGCTATGAAATGCACAAATAAGTCATGACATAATCATAAAATATAAGAGATAGAATCTCTCCATTCCATACTATAATGATAATCTATAGTCTATCTATCTGCTTTACTATCAGGTAGATAGTTCAAAATTCAAATATATATATAGGAAAACATAAGTTTGATGAAAATGTTCTTCTATGTGTCTTCTATGAGAAAATGTGAAATGAACAAAGTAAATTTGATCAAACGAACAGCATCTATTATTCTATTAGATTTAGAGGCTACATATAAGACAGAAGCATAAAATTCCTATATATAGCAGAGACCTATATTTGTTTTATATGCATTTCTTTCGAAATCAATTTTTGAATAATTTAGAAGATGTATGTACAATTTGTAGCTTATTTTATTATTTTGATATATCATATTTTTATTTATAATAATTATTCTAATTAGTGGCAGACTCCACTATTTTAGACTAACAAATTTAATTTTTATCATTATTTTCAAAGGTGATGAGGTTTTGTCAAACTTGAAAGATGTTTCTAAAGAAACGAAGAAACGAACCATCAGACCTCAAATTAAATTGGATGTTGATAAGTATTACTTTATAACTCTTCACAAATTTCACACTTTGTTTTTTTTGTGGATTAAAAGCATGTTTATTTATTGCTAGAAAGCTGTTTACTGCGAATGTTGTTTTTGTTATGATAAAATAATTAATGTTATAATGAAACTAATTTAAATACAAATTGTTTACAGTTTGTTTTTCCATATTTCTCAGAAAGATTATTCAGATCATTGCATGATGCTTACCTATTTAAACTTAAATTTATTTTGCATTTCTATCTTAAAAATGTTATAAAAACCTATTTTGGCTTATAAATGATGATCTGATTAAAAAAATATTACCATCACCGCTAGGCTTAAGGGCTCCAGGGGTCTTCAAGCACTGCCGAAGATTTTCAAGAAGGTTCATTTGAAAGGGAAAGGCCATGAGGTCATTGTTGATTAGTGCATACATTCCTGCTATTTTTGTTTATTATTTCGATTAAAAGATTACTACAATTATTATTATGTTTATGTAAATGCCAACAATATGATGACTAATTTTACATTCCAAATTTTTAATTATTTTTTACCTTTTAATATTTTGTTATTTATCTACATTACTACAAGATATAATTGCCTGAATGGACATAGTTGAGATAATATTTTGTTGGAAGTGGTGATATGAAAATATTGCCGTTATGTAATGAATTGAAAATGTAATTTTAGTCATTTGAAAATGTTTTTAGTTATTTATCGAAGATAGTCATAACGAATTGATGCTTAACACCTGTTTCCCTGGATTAAACAAATAAATTACAATGCTAGGTGTCCAGAATAATATTTGCTTACACTTTTGATGGGATCGACTTTTATAGAAGTGTTGACTGTTACTGGATTTAAGCTGTACTGTGTTACTGGATTTAAGCTGTACTAATCAACATGGTGAAAGCTGAGAAATTTTTAAAAACATCAAATTCAAATACATTTTGGCATGTATCAAAGGTTTAAAACAACTATTTAATGCCCACAATGATTTGTGGCAGCTGCCATTTGTTTTAAAACTTTTGGCACAAATTTGACAGAATAAAGAAATGGATATAAATTATGAAGAAAGCATGTTGACTGTTTTCAAAATTAAGAAAACTTTGAATATAAGAGAAAACAGAAGGGATAATTAACATCAAAAAGACCAATAAGATGAATAAGTTGAAAGTAACGTGAATGTTTGAACTGCTCCGTTCAGGGTACAATTTATTTTTAATTTATCTTAGATAGCACAACTTTTTTAATTATCTTGTTGAGAACAATTATTTATTTTTCAGAATAATTATAATATATGATGCTAGGTTTAACAGTTTATGTATTCATTCAATATATCTCGATAACTTTGAAAAGTTACATTTACAATGCATTCAAGTTACAATCATAAAATTTTGATTGGCAGGCTCACGATCTTGACCTGATTATGACACATTTGGAGCACTGGGCTCACCGGTTGATGCCAAAGATACCGTTCTGTGAGTTTGTTGAACGAATGGAAAAACTTGGAACCAGGAAAGAAGTCCAGGTAGTTAACTTTTAGACACTGTAATTATAGGCATGCCTTACGTGCTTACATGCCTTATGGTTAAATGGTTACATGCCTTAAAGATTTTACGTGTTTCCTTTCACTTTCCAAAACCAGTTTGGAAACAATTTTTGCAGTTTTTCCCTTGAATTCATTGTGTCATCAGCATATCTTACATTGTTCCTATTCACGCCTCCAATGGATATTTCAGGTAGATCTTCTATCTTTCTCATGATGATCTCACTATAGAGATTGTACAGGTCTGGAGAGAATACACAGCCTTGCTTGACATCTTTCTTTATTTTGACAAAACTAGTCATCTTGTTACCAATTTTCATTGCTGCTGCTTTTTCAAACAAACCACTATATATTAAATCAACTTAACATCATTATCAGACCTGTTTGAAAAGGATTCGACTGGATTTGCCATTCTTTGACGGTGCAATTGAAGATTCAGATGACGCTAACAAAGTTAGTTGCGTTGCTGGAAAATTTACCATATTCATCAATGCAATTTTTTGCACGTTTCTTTCGAATTTGCACGTTATAGAATGTACACTTACACTAAAACTAACAAAAACATGATCATTAGCACCCTTCTGGTTACTAAATTTTTCAATGTTGTTTAATTAAAATGTTTGGACGTTGTTATTCATGGCTGGTTTTCAAATCTATTAAATTTTATTCCAGCCAAATTCTCCCATATATATGAACGATGAAATGATGCATGCAGTCGATGCCGAAGAAAATGACACTGAGGATCATTCAAGAACAAATATAACTGAAACTTCCCCCAACCATCATGGTGATTCAACATCATCTAGTCAAGCACGGGAGTCGTCAATGGCTGAAAATAACGAGAGCAACAGTTGGACAATAAAAAACGATTCAACAAATAATATCGTGAGTTTTAATCATGTGCTATCTGTTAATAAGATGAACATTTATGTAACGGTCATGTGGCTTCAGTGTGCAATACAATTGAAATTTTGTGCCTTGCCTTAAACGTGCCTAACCCTATGTATGCACGTGCAACCATGGTTCTGACAGTGGGCCGACCTAATAATAGTACAATACCTTTTTACTTAATATGCATCCAACAAAACTCTACTTTTCATGAAAGGCACTGTTGAAACTATAATACAAAACTAATTGGCTATATCTTTTTTTGTTCGAACGAACGAACGAACATTAAATTTCAAAGCAATAAAATTGATGTATAATATTTATATTAATCATTTTCCAAGGTTCTCACCGAAAGTATGAAGGAAAGAATAGAAAGAAACAGACAACTGGCTCTAGAGAGGCGAGCCATGAGGATGGCTGGCACCCTCGGTAGTAGCCAGACTGTTAACAAACGATGAATTAGTTGTAGTGTTGAACTGACATGCTTGTGTTTTTGCTGAATTGTACGTTTTTTTAATTACACTTCTTTTAATTTGCTCTTTTGTCAATAGATTGCTGGTATATAATTTTGATGCAAGTAATGTTGCTACTCGTCTCTTTTTAATGTAGTTTACTTAATAATTTAGAACAGTTGACAAATGAGCAGTTCTCTCAACCCATTTGCGGATTTGGTTCTTTCAGATTGTTGTACACCTAACATAACTACTTGAATGATTCTTTTTTTTAAATTCTATTTATTTAAAATACAAAAACACAAAATGAAAAAAAAACCAGATTGTACAGATTTACGGAGATCACATAAGGATAACAAAACTTGTAAAGACCACCGTGAATACAATAATCCATTTAAAAATAAGAACACATATATACAAAAGTTGATCAATTCACTAGAAGTATGACTGTCTGGTGTTACCCATTACATAAATAAACATATCTAGATAAACGCATTTTTACATGAGAATATTTGCCTGATTTTTTCATGTTTATGGTGGTAGATTATTCTGCATTGTTCTGAAAAGCCAATGAGGTATGGTGCCTATACCAAATCTGCAAATATTTGTTTCTGTAACTTACAAAAGAGAAAGGTAAGTGAACCTCAGCAGAGAAGCTGCTGATTAACTTTTGAACTGCGATCTTGAGCTGCATAAAATTCTTTTAATATCCATGGCTTTAAATGTTACACCTAATATCAAGCAAAAATTCAATCATGGTCTAACTAATAATTAGAAATTTATGGTATAATAGAATGAACTTGGGAGGGTTAATAATGTTCATTCGGAATTGAGATAATTAGTTTTAAAAACTTTAAAAAGTTGCAATAATAGTCAGTGCCATATTCAGCAATCTTAAAGCTTTGCTGTTTCAAGTGTAAGAAAGCAAGTTTGTAAGCCACATTTTGTGTGAATGGCAATGACATTCAGAGCTTTAAAATCAAACATATAATTGCGCAATATGGTGCTTGCCCCTTTTGGAAATAGTTTCCTAAGCATAAAATAAAATAAACACTTGAACATTGTCAATGCATAACGCAGTCTAATTAGAATAATAGCTGCCTGAAAAACTATCATAAACCAAACTGTTCAGTTGGCTTGGAACATTTTTTCACATCAGATAAAAACCAATCAGTCAGTGAATATAAAATCAGACTGGGGCGGTAATATAATCATCATCAGTGAAAATCCACTCAGGGTGACACAAGCCAAAAGAGTTGGAAAAATATATCTAGATTTAGGCTGGATGGAATACATATGCATAATAAAATAGTTTACATCAGATTATTAAACCAATCAGTCATCAAAATCAGACTGGGGCGGTAATGTATTCATCATTTACATGTAAATATCACAATAATATATGAAAATATAAAAATAATGATGAAACAAATCATTGCGCACTGCACAACTCGGCCAGCTTCAAGTAAAGACTTTCTAGCAATAAGAGTAAAGTAACTGACCACCGGACCATGGAGAGCATAGAAGCGATAACAGCCCAACTGAACTTTAATAATTATTAAAATTAAAAATATAGATAAATTTGGTTGCTGTCAGACAACTTACCGATCAGTCATTGAAATCAGACTGGGGCGGTAATTCGCTCATCACAAGCATCCAGTGATCCCGACGTCAACTTCAAGCAAACTGACACCCACAACATGAGAATTAAAAGGCGAATCAGATCAGACTGAATCACACTGAGAAACATATGCGTTTAAAAAAATTATTTAATAAAAATAACCACACTAGGAAATCTGCAAAACACAAACAAAATAAAATTTGCAAATTACAAGAATGGATCACGATTATAAGCAAGAGTCGTTGAACAATTGAACAAAATCAGACACGCACACACGAGGAGAGCAAAGTAAGAAAGAAAGAAACGATAGCTCGGAAGTAGATAGTTAAAAGCTAACTTTAAAAATTTCGTTTATAGCGACATCTATAGTTTTTTAAATAATTTTTTAAATTTTATTAAATTAATTAGTAATTAATACACACACAAATAAAATATCAGTAATAGGGAGTCATATATATATTATAATATATATATATATAATATAAGAAACAAAAAAATTTTGGACTTCGGGCGACCAACGAACTCTAGAATTATTTGTAACTGCCTTACTGGAGAACATTGTATAAATAATGGCGCAAGTCTACTTTAGGTTATCATAGGAACAAGCGATTCAAGGTAGACGTATTTCAATACAAACAAGTTTTATTATAATAAGTATTGACCAAGTAATTGCAATCCACAATATATCATCTAGATAATATTCCTCCCACATATTAATAACTCCAACTTCGTTAAATGCATTATTACGCATTTTAATACTCGGATAAATTCCACACAAACGCATACACACACGCACACAAATGCACAGACATACGCAAACAAACAAACACACACATCAAGAAAAATATTCAAACATGTCCTTACAATGCGTTGACAGGTAAACATTCAGATCGTTTTGTGTATCTGTATTTATGTATACATCGTTTAGTTATACATGATTAACTATGTATCTCATACATTATAACAATGGTGTACGTACGTATGCGTATGCGTACCTGCTTATTGTTTATGGACCTATAATACTTGTACTCAGATATACAGAGATGGGTAATCAGTGGCGGATTTAGGGAAGGGCCCTGGTGATTATTATTTTTATTAAAAGTCAGTAGAAATCAGTTTTTGCAGCGAAAAAACACCATTTTATGTAAAAAATAATTTTGACCACACTACGATAAATCTTGGCTCCACCTCCGCCCAAATAAGTACAAAATGTAAACATTTTCAAATTTTGGCCCCTTACCGTCAAAGTTATCAAATTCCGCCACTGCGGAGGTAACTATTTATTATCTTTTTCTTTAAACTCTAACTCCATACAACCTGTTTCTTAATCTTGTATCAGACCTGTGCTCAAGGTATCGAAACACCCTTACTAAAAATTCATAGCGAATTCCTTCTCTCTTTGACAATTGTAATCTTACTCTTCTTGCTCTAAGCTTTTCTTTTCCTTTTGATACTGTTGATCATTCTATTCTCTTGAGAATGCTAGATCATCCTTTTAATATTACTGTTTCTTGTCTATCTTGATTTCTTTCTTATCTCAGTAATCGTTTTTTCTGTTCTTAATAATATTACTTCTAACTCCTCCAATTTTACTTTTGGAGTACCTTAAGGACCTATCCTTGACCCTTTTCTATTTATACTCTATACTTTTGGACTAATTCGTAAATTTATACTTTTTCTTTGACTGGTCAACTATACGCTGACGATTCTTATATTTATGAATATGTTTATATTTCTTTCCTTCCATCTAATCTCAATAGCGTTATTCATAATTTATCTCAAAGTCTTTCTTCTATAATCGCTTAGTGTGACTGTTTCTTCAATTTAATCCTTCTAAGTTCTTATTTTCATCTACGTAGAAGAACAAAAAATCTTTCGCCGAAACAATACCCACCCATAGAACAAAGACATCCGATAATAAATATTCAACAACGTGTAGTCGAATCCTTCTCACCAGTAAATTTGAAAACAGAAAAATCATCGATAATGATGACATTTAAAATTGTCATATTGCAAAAAGTTGAAGATCGTAATAACTAATTAAATGAGCGTTGAGTATTAACATTAAACTAACAAGGAATTAACGTTGTAAACACACACACACACAATTTATATATATGTATACATACACACACACAAACACACACACACACACACACATATATATATATATATATATATATATATATATATATATATATATATATATATATATATATTTAGGCATCCACATACATGCACAATTCATGCATACCTACAATGCAATGCATGCATACATGGAAATAGTGAGCTGATAGTGATAGGTATATATTGGCAATAGGGTAGCAACGTCAACAGATCCACTTCAGACCTCACAACACGCGCAATCATCTGACGAGAACATTGTAGGAAAGGAATGTAGACAAGCAGATTCATTTGTTGCAAGAACCCGTCATCATCATTATCATCATCAACATCGTTATCAAAACCATCATCAACATCGTTATCAAAACCATCATCAACATCGTTATCAAAACCATCATCAACATCGTTATCAAAACCATCATCAACATCGTTATCAAAACCATCATCAACATCGTTATCAAAACCATCATCAACATCGTTATCTTATATTTTACTTTTGTTAGTCACAAAAATTCGCTTCATAAAATTTATTATTAATGTTTAATAGCATAATTTTTATTGTTTTTTATTTACTATAAATTGAATTTGTTGTTGCTCTGTCTAACAACTCGAGGTTAGTTCATTTTAATAATAAATTAATTATAATCAAGTTCGTTCGTTCATTCAAAATCATTGAATTCATGAATTTGTTGATCCGTGCGTTTCATGTGTAAGAATGCGTTTGAACGTTTTCATGGTGTGTGTGAGCACCTTTGTTAGTATTAAACGTTCAAGTAGCGTCTACGCACTTTCGTGTTTATCTCTACGCGTGTTTGTATGCGTATGCCCCAAATCGTTCATTCGAGTGTTAGTACGTTTAGACACGAGATTATGTTTTCACATATCATATTTATCGCATTTCTTCCTCTGCACATTACTGTACTTTCATGCAAAGAAAATAATTTTATAGCTCCTATAATTGGATTGCACAGAAACACACGCATATCTACATAAACAAGCGCTAACACACTTACAACATTCATACACATACATACATATACATACACATACATACACAAACACATACATACACATTACACACATGCATGCAAACACAAACAATGCATCGTCATTCTTGTGAGTTTTTGCACTTGTTTGGTTTCTGTAAGATCGTTTCTGTGTTTGAAAACATGGTCCTATAAGCGAACTCAAATAGTTTTTAGTGAATAAATAGAAATTGAAATGTATAGAGGGGATTAAACCTGTAAAAAGGATGTGTAATTGTGTGTGTATCGTGTATTAATGTAATAATTATTGATATGTTCTATACGTATTTGTATGGTAAGATTTGAAAGTTTTTTTTTATATCATTATTAAATTTGGCAAGACATCTAAAATACAGCTGGGAGTGCTTGGTTCAACATTGGGTCTCAGCTTAACAGTGCAAGAGCATATTAGGCGCTTGGTGAAGTCATATTCCTTTTACTTGCGTCGACTGCAAAATGTTAAAAAATGTTTGAAAGAACTTTTTTGGTTTAACATTAACTAATTGTTGGTTGTGGTTGGTGGATGGTCATTGGTTTGATCACGTCTGTTTAGTTATTAACGATACATACATAAGCTATCAATTTACATAAAATATCCTATAAAAACTTGTCTTATGGTATTCAAATGGTTAACTCCTCGATATTTTATTAATGTTGATGTTTAGAAACACAGATATTGGCACAGAATTTTGTTTTGAGATCAAAGAACTATCCAAATTATTAAATTGTTCTAAAACTAAGCGTGAAACTTTGCTGTTAGCAAAACGATGATGTGGAACTGAAAACAATTCTGACGATGGAACATTGGAGGGGAGGTGATCATCAAAATTGGTTCTGACTCATCAGCTGCCTGTGAAGGAAAGTGCTGCTACAACTTGACAGTTATCTTATTTTCTAACGTTCTTATTTAAGTTTGGATACTTTGTTTCATCACGCTAGGTGCCGGTGAGAGCATTTGTAATGAGTGCTACACGAGTAACGTTCATGAAAGCAGATTTTGGGCAACCATTGAATCAGTTACCGTTCGTAACATAGTTGGAAAAAAAGAGCGGTTGAAAATTTCGAAGTTCAGTTATATTATCTTTTAGCAGAGAAACTTTGGCAACCAGAAGTGAATAGGCGCTATCAACCTCGTTAGTTCTTAAAATATTGTTATAACCGTGCTACGGAACGCACTAGATTCTAGCGTATTCTAGAATGTTCTAGTGACTGGAGCGTTCTAGAGTATGCTAAAATCGGACCATCTAGAAGAATCTAGAAACGACGCTTGCGAAGAGTATATAAGCGCACGTCGCAAAAAGATTAGGGAAATCCATGATTAGTGATATTCGTGATTTTGTGATTTCGTGAATAGCGATTCGGTGAATTATTTAAAGCAATATTTGATTTGTTTGTTGACGTTGTCATAGCGATAGATTTTAAACAATTTAAAGATTTGAACCCGTCGCATCGTAAATCAGTTACGACAGCGAGTATTATAACATTGGTGTCAGAAGTGGGATCTTCGACCAGCGAATTACTACTCATAGAAAAAGAACACGATGTCAAAACTGTGTGGTTTGAACGTAGTTCAGCTAAGAGAAGAACTACAGAAACGAAGCCTTGTCACAAGTGGCAACAAAGAAGTACTAGTAGCACGTCAGATAGAAGCTCTCATTGACGAAGGTAAGAACCCAGACGAATTCAAGTTTGATGGTGCTGACGAAGACAATGAAATTAGCACAGGCACGTTTACAACCGCTAAAATGATGGAACTTCTGCTTAGTATGTCAATTGAAATAAAACAGATCAAAGAACAGTCAGAACGACAGTCCGAACGACAGACAGAAGAGTTTAAACAACAGTCCGAACGACAGACAGAAGAGTTAAAACAACAGATCAAGGAACAGTCCGAACGACAGACAGAGGAGTTCAAAAAGGTCAAGGACCAGCTAAAACACGTAAAATTGGAAGTGGCAGAACAGATTGAAGAACAGTCAACAAGATTAGAAATGATCGAGCAGAAACTTGATCGTCAGACCGTTGAGGTAGATCACGAGATAGACAAATTGAAGCGAGAATTGGAGCAATCCAAAAAAATGACCATGCCGTTAGATCAAGCATCCGGAAGAACTTTGAAGGTACCAGCATTTGACGGAGAGATGCCCTGGAACGTTTATAAAACCCAGTTCGAAGCAGCGGCAACTAGTAACTGTTGGAACGGAAAAGAACGAGCAACAGCACTGATACTGGCTCTGCGAGGTTCAGCAGCAGAGGTTCTTCAGACGATTCCGGCGGAGAACCACTTCAACTATGAAGTTCTGGTTAGCGCGTTGGATTTACGTTATGGTGAAGAACACATGAAACAGATTTATCGGTCTCAACTTAGAAACAGAACGTAACGATCTGGTGAATCCATTCAGCAGCTGGCACAAGACATCGAACGGTTGACATTGCTGTCGTATCCAACATCAGACCCCGAGCATAGAGACGAAACTGCCCTGGATACGTTTATCAAATCCCTTCGTGATTCGGAACTCAAGCAATCCCTTCTCTTGTCAGATAAACGAAAACTCAAGGATGCCGTTGCGCAAAGTCTCACTTTTGAATCGGCAAAAAGTGACGTACGTCTACGCCAAGTACATGAAGAATGCTCTTGCCAGAAGGTGATTGTGAAATGCGAACCCCAACAGCATGGTGTACCCCAATGCTGGATTTGTGGTGAAAAAGGCCATCTACGTCGTGATTGTAAACACCGCCAAAAAGATAACTACTGCCGAAATTGCGCGACAAGATGGCGCAAAAGAAGAAAAGATGATCCTGTATCACGATCGGCCCCTTCTAACGAAGAGGCGGAAAAACTAATAAGAGCCAACTTTGTGGGGCAGAGGTTGGCTAGTAGAATTGACGCCCCCAGTACCGTAATTAACGTTTCCAGATTACATCGAAATAGAAACGACCTATGGCTGAACGGAAAAGTTGATCAACGAGAATGTGTAATTACAGCAACAAACTCGATTTTAAGATCTGATTTGGTACCCAATCTGAAGAAAGAGACTTCTAACAAATACATCCTTCGAACAGCTACCGGAGGAACGGCACCGGTCTATGGAAAGATTCTCCGTACTGTTCAGCTAGGCGACTTGTTATTCGAAGGTTCATTCTTAGTCGCGGATATCATCGACGAATGCATAATAGGTGTCGACTTTCTGACAAAATATGGGTTCAAAATTGACTTAGAAAAACGCATTCTTAGATGGAGAAATACAGAAGTGATAATGGGGGATAGCGACGAAAAATGCATTCGAGTGACAGTCGATTGTGACATAGAACTACCTCAATCATCTGAAAACATCGTATGAGGCAAGTTGAATTGCGATCCAAGGGGCCACCAGTTCTATTTGATGGAGCCAACCTCAACGACAAATGTACAGAACGCGGTCATTGGAAAATGCCTGGTAGAAGCAAACAAAAATGGTCTTATTCCTGTCAGAATAATGAATACCGCTAAACACACTATTAAAATTAAAAAAGGCGAGGAAATAGGTAATTGACAATCAATAAATTTGGTGAAATCCTTAGATATGGAGCAACAGGCAAAGGTTCTACCAACTGACAAAGGTAGACTCAAAGAACTTACCAAAAATCTACTGGATGAACTCAATTTGTATCAAGAAGACCGTCTAAAAGCCGAGGCGTTGATTGCTGATTTTACAGAATACGTGGATAATCTTCGACAGCGCTTAAACCATATCCACCGTTACGTACGCTTTAAAATTATGAAAAACACGGAGGCGGCCAAAACCAGATACGACTTGAAAGGAACATGATGAACACGACGAGTTAGTTTGGCTGTACAACCCACAGCGAAAGAAAGGACGTTTTCCAAAGCTCCAGCGAGGGTGGGAAGGACCTTATCAAGTCATCACCTGCTTGAATGACGTCGTCTACCGTATTCAGGGATATCGGAAGCCGAGAGCAAGAATGAAGATCGTTCATTTGGATAGACTGGCTCCGTACCATGCGGACACCGGAACGAAAGCTGTTCGGGACGAACAGAACTAAGAAGGGGGTAATGTTATAACTGTGCTACCGAACGCACTAGATTCTAGCGTATTCTAGAATGTTCTAGTGATTGGAGCATTCTAGAGTATGCTAGAATCGGACCATCTAGAAGAATCTAGAAACGACGCTTGCGAAGAGTATATAAGCGCACGTCGAAAGAAGATTAGTGAAATCCATGATTAGTGATATTCGTGATTTTGTGATTTTGTGAATAGCGATTCGGTGAATTATTTAAAGCAATATTTGATTTGTTTGTTGACGTTGTCATAACGATAGATTTTAAACAATTTAAAGATTTGAACCCGTCGCATCGTAAATCAGTTACGACAGCGAGTATTATAACAATATCAAAGAGAACTATTGATAGATGCGCTCATAAATTGTATTTAGATTGATCAATATTAATTTTCTAAAGTTCCTTGGCTGAAATATTTCAAACAGTTTGTCCTGCTTTATTTTCTGTATCACCTGAACAGTGGAGCAATTATTTTTCTCATGTCAATAAATTTCAACATTCAGAAAACTTGACCCAAATTTACACGTTTGAGAGGGAAAAAATTCTGAACAATTTTTCGATAAATGTGTAATACTTTAATTTGCTTGCATGTGCTGTGTACGTTTAACACAAAACATTAAGGAAATGACGCGGTGTAAACTGCGAGTAACTAACCGATGCTGATGTGATTATAAAACATGCAAGTTGATCTTTTTGAAATGTCACCGTCATCAACGCCGTTGTTAACATTTCTATGGTATTAATCCTATTTGGAAAAGCTAGAAGTGGTTGTTTAAAGAAACATGGCTTCTAAATGTCAAAATGTTTGCTGCTCCGAGATTTAAAATGACTCAGCATACACATCTTGTTCAAGTCATCCTAAGTTTTTTTATCTGCACACACTTGTAAGTTTTACATGTTCAACATTGTCGTAACCAACAATTTCGTATGCCTCGGTTTGTAAAAGCAAGCACATGCCGACATTTGCCAGCTACCGATTGCCCGCCTGTTTGTTTATGAACATGTTGTGTGCATGTTTGAGGGCTGGAAAAACGTGAAACGTCTAACGCAATATTTGCACAAACTTTCAACTCAACCGCCAATCGATGAGAGTGTGGAATGCGAATGGAATGTGGATGGATGTTCATTGAATTTTGTGGCTCCGTCCGAAAGGCCGATGAACGCGACTACGTGTAGCATGTTCGTGTGCTACATAGATGTGAATTACGTTGGATATGTACGTACCAGATGCCACCGTGCTACAAGCTAGTACCAAGGCCATCTACCTTTCATATCGTCTGATGTCCTTTGCACAGATTATTCAAGTCTTATAAGTTCGTTCACTTTATTTGCAAATCGACTTCATTGCTAGTTTTGTTGGCTTTCGCTCTAACTGTTTTTGGCCTTTATTTGAATGTTATTATTGTGAATATTGTTGTCACTACTTTCATTTGCAACGGGTTAATACATTGTCTTTATTGTTGACAAGAAGACGAGATAGAACTGGTAAAACTGTTTGTCTGTTATAACAGATTCTACGTCTGTCGATCCTGGTTTTTTAAAAATAATGGAAATAAACCTAATTTTTAGTGTATTATTGTCCCTACATGTTTATATCGCTTGGAATTGTTTGTTTAGAATTCTTTGATCGTCTCAAATTTTTTTACAAACCTTTGAAATAGTTCAAAAAATTGTAACGGAAACTTCTTTCCGACTGAAATGCACGTACAACCGAGAAAAAATTAATGAATCATCATTTTCACTATTAAGTTAATACATTTACTTTATTATTCTAATTATTATTTACAATAATAATAAGAATAATAATAAAAATACAAATAATAATAATAATATTATTATTATTATTAATATTGAAAATATTAATAACAACAACAATATAAAAATATAATAACATTATTATTATTATTTTTATTAATATAATTATTATTATTAATATTATTATTTTTATTATTATTATTGTTAATATTACATTAGAATTGACATCCTAATTACGTCATTCGTGCTGTAAATAGCATTTTGTTGACGAAATAAAAAAAAAACATGACGAGTCTAATGTTTCTAATGGCTCGCTTCTGTCCATCACGTGATGCGTTGGAAAATTATAAATTATCATAAGTTATTTCATTTCATATTTATTCCATATTTTCATTCTATAATAATAATGATAATAATAATAATAAAGAAAATAATAACAACAGCAGCAATGATAATATAAAAATAGTTATAATAATTACAATATTTTTATTGTTATTATCAATCATTATTATTATCATTAGAACTGACATCACCATATTCTCGTATATTTGTGAGCGGGAATATATTTGATCATAAAATGGAAAATAATTTAGAAAAATATTTGTTTTATTAATGAAGCTGTGTTAATTAAAAATTCTTTTTTACTATTTTTCACTAGAAAGCATTTCTCCATTGTACATTCTTTGAAACAATTCTGAACAATGACTTCACTCATTGTTCAGAATGTTTCAAAAACGATTTACATTTTGAATGAACGTGTCAAAAACTGAATGGAAAGCTGGAAAAGCGATTCTGACATTCAAAAGAGAATAGAAATGATGGTGATGATGTGGAATGATGATGATGACGATGATGACCACGATGATGATGTGTGATGATGATGATGACGACGATGATGATGATGATGTGGGATGATGATGATGACGACGATGATGATGTGTGATGATGATGATGAAGTTTAATGATGATGATGATGGTGGTTGTGAGTGAAGCAGACACAAAAGAGAGGTAATTAATTATTCACACGATATCTGCCTGTTGGTCACGCGTCGTTAATATTTAATTGCAACGTTCAACTCTACAAACCTTCCCCTGCATACAAAATTTTTTGCTACGATGAAATGCTAACAAGCACACAAATTCACACACACACGCGCGCGCACACGCACACACACGTACATAATACATGACAAAAACACATTCAAACGCATGACCATCACACATACACTCACACACGTGCACACAACAACAAACAACAAAAATAATTGTGCGACAACGGCAACAACAACAACAACACAACAGCGCGATGGTGTAATGGTTGAGGCGCCTGGCATTGTTGATGAAGTGTCCTGGTTCGAATCTCAAGAGATCCTCGCAAGAAGTGTGTGATTCACGTGTATTTGCTACATATACTGCATGTTTGTTTTAATAATAAGAATAATAATAATATTAATGCACATCTGTCGCTTGCCATGGCGCTATATAAAATGACATTATTATTATTATTTTTATTATTATTATTATCATTATCATTATTATTATTATTACACCAACAATTGAACTGAGCTTGAAATATTCAAGAATTGGATTGTATGGAAGTTGACGTGTGGCGTGGCTGACGAACGGCCACATTCCTCGCCAACACGTTTCACTGCCTCACTACGCCGTGAGTGTAAGAAGCGACTTCCATGGCTGCTCATGTGGTCACGTGTCAATATTTTGCGAACGATGATGAAATAGATGTCGATGATTAAGATGATGATGATGACGTCAATGACGATGACGACGATAATGCGAATGTTGATCACGTCGGAGATGATGATGATGAGAAAATGACGTTGATGATGATGATGGGAATGAAGGTAATAATGATGATGTCGTTTCGTTAATGATGATCCGCTTGCATGGTCATATAGGAGACATTAATGTTGACGACCTTGATTATAATGATGATGATGATGATGATAATAATACGATACGATACGGTACGATACGATACGATACGATATGGTATGATGTGTGCATTGTGTACTTTACCTAACAAATTCATCAAAATTCTTCATCTGAAATTAAAAATTTTGTCTTTATTATTAAGTAATAAAGATTCAACTCAATTTAAACTTCGTTTTCAACAAGTGCTTCAATGAAGTCAGAACATTTTTGTTACAAAGCCTCCCTCATCTATTGCGATCATATAATCCGGAGAAGACTTGTTTTTCCAGCTTGCTTCTTCAATGCCTTTTTTGTCTTAAATGTTGGTTTTATTTAATTGTACGTTGTTGTCTGTAATGTCGTTCGTTTGTTTTAGTTGAGCTAATATCTCATTTGGAAACTTTACATCATCCTCAACTTTTCCTTCATCATCCAGTTTTTTTCAAATATTTTCGGCGTCGTTTGTTTTAAAGTCTAATGGAAATATAGGGAAAGTAGGAAAATTTATTGAATTAACATCATGAAACATGCTGATTCATTGAGCATACGCATGTATGATGCATAACAATGAGTTGCTTTTTACCTTTTGAAATAGGTATCATTATTTTTTTTCAAACCTTATTGAGAGCATTAGGACAATGAAGAAACACCTGTTGATATATTAGTGTTAAATCACAATTTTTGCCAGACAGTGAAAGATAATTTTGTTAAATAAACCTACATCGAACTTTTTATTTTCCAGTTTGGGAAATTTGAATAAAAGTTTAAAAAGAAGCTCAAAGAAAATCTGAAGTGATTCACACCGTACCATCAACTATCATTTTTAATTGATTGATGATGGAAAGACTGATTCGATGGAAAGATCTGATTCGTCGCCGTTAGTCCCTGCTAAAGAACTGAACTGAATGATGCAAAGTGACATTTAAAAAAAATTCTCTGAGGGAATGAGTGAGTCAGTGAGTGTGTGAGTGAATGAGTCAGTGAATGAAAATGACAGTGAACATGTAATACAATTGAAAAAGCACGTGCAAATGAGTGTAAAAGTGAAGACTTTTTGAATTAGAAATATAATGGTAAATAGGTTAGAAGGTATAACAAGGCGAGTTAATGAAGAAAATAATTCTTCAAGCTACTCATTAAATAATGTTAGGTTGCTAAATACCCAACAAAGAATAATACCATTGGCATTTCAATTGAGAAAATTCTTTGTGTTTATTTAAGTGTAGATGCAATTAATTTTTAAATTTTCATTCAAGAGATATTTCTATTTTCTTTTACAAATTATTTTACCATTTTTTCAGACAAATTTTATTAACAGTTTTTAAAAGTTTTGAAACTTTTAAATTAAAATTATTAGTTTGAGAATATTTTAAAAATTCATAGCAGGAGGCTGGCTGGTCGAGGTTGTTGTGAGTGACTCAAGATATAAAATTTATTTCAAACATTATTACCATGGTGGTTATTCTTACACAGTTACAAATTTTCTTTTTGAACACGTTTGCTTATTAAAATTAATTTTAATTGCAGCTCGTTTTTACTTTTATAAAATACAAAAGAATTTCACACACTTTATTGAGTTAGTTTGGCAACTGTCAAATAAGCTCAGGAATAATTTTTTTAAATGCTTAATTAATTGTTTTACAAAATTTTGTAGAAAGATAAATTCCGATGGAAATTTTATTATTATTATACAACGGACAAAATCTTCTACATTCAAAATGAAACTGAAGACAATTATTTCTGTTGTAAAATACGTCTTACAATGTTCATTGTTCAGTTCTCTTTATTCTCGTTCTGCGTGCGTGAAAATATAATTTAAATGAAAATAATATTTTAAGAAATTTGATCCACTTATTTGAAAACATTTTTCTTCAAACAGTTTGAACCATGCAAATAAGCAAAGCAAATCAGCTATTTCTATACAGCCACGAAAAATAAAAAGGGCAAAATAAATCAATAAAATTATATTATTATCGTTCCGTGTCTTTGAAGCCTAATCATCAAATGCCCGAACTAAGAGAAACACTTAACATCGGTGGATTTGAAATGTTCTTTGAAATATCTTCCACTTTGTGGTTGTAGGTAAATATCTCTTCTTTTTTGCAAAATCTGACAGCCACTTAAACAATTACGCCATTCGCAGCCTATACAATTTACGGTTAATGTTTCAATCACGTACTTTGGAGGAATTGAGTGAATGTTTAAGATGATTTTCCAATGAATGCATGTTTTAATAATTATTAACAGTATTTAAAAATGCTCCATGCATTTTCATTTTATTATTAAGCCATACGTTTGATACGTTCTTTTAAGTAATTTCAATGAAAGCAACAATTTCTTTAAAGTTGGAATGAAATAACATTGTTTATATTTTATTGATGTAAGAATTTCTAAATTATTTTATTTTTAATCAACTTTGACAAAATTGGTGCATTATTCTGTTCAGCAGTTCACCCAATAACGCATTCGTCGGCCATTCATCGGATGATTTAAATTTCCAAAGGCTTGATTGCTTCCACCATTGTCAATGTGTCTGAATGGTACAACAACTCAATTGCGGAC